GCCGGCCACTCTGGCTTTGTTACATGCACCCTGCCGCTCCCGGTACACTTACCTGCTGTGTGCTTTCCATGCACATGGCGTGGGGCCACGTGTCAACTGAGAGACACACACCTGGTGGCACCACGACACACATGGGACATTTGTGAGCCCTCGCGGTGGGCCAGTTGCTTGGTGACCGGGCTACAGGACCACGGCTTGCCATTGGCCAGCGTGGAGACGGCGGTCCTGACTGCGGGGCCAGCGGGACAGGCTGTCGTGGTCACCGTCGCCTGCCCCTTCTCGCTGCGCGGTGGGGCTCTGGCAGTGCTCGTAGCATGTGCGTGGCTTCCACATGGCTTGCCCTGTGTCTGTCTGGACAGCTGGTCTGGAGGACACAGGACGTGGGGGAGTGTGCAGTCCCACAGCAGCGGCTGCTGAGCTCAGGTTAAAACCCGACTCTCCAGGCCCAGATGGCCTTGGTCCTGCTGAGCTGTGCCGTAAGTGAGAGGAAGATTCTGGAACAGTGAGTCCTAGTTCCTCAGGCTCACGCCCGCCCTTCCTTGGTCATGGCAGTCCTGGAGGTGGTGCCACGAGCCGTGGTGCGGTCTGTAAGCCAGGCGGTTCTTAAGCCCACGGGAAACATCTGGAAGACGTGACTTAGGAGCCATTTGCCCTGCCTGGATCATGGCAGGGCTTCACAGGAGGGCAGCCTGCGGCCTCCCGTGGGCCCCTGTGCTCATGGCTAGCAGCCCCGCGACGCCAGTGCCAACATTCTGCTCTTGCTGAGTGCAGAGGGGACGCTGGCTGCCGTGCTCGGGCTCAGTCCTTCGGGTAAATCAAAGGCAATCTTACTGGGACCAGCAGTTAGCTTAATGGCTATGTCGCTGGACTCCCACGTAGTCGACCATGGTTCGAGTCCCGGACCTGGTGGCTTAACTCAGGCCGGGCGCGTGTGGATATGTGCCCAAGATCCCGAGAGGAGAATGGAGGTTTCTGGCAAGCACACGTGCCCTATAGCAAAAACCTCTCCCCCCAAAAAACCCCAAAACCAAAAAGTCAACTTTATTAAGTTCCTGCCTCTTGGGCTAGAGGACCTTGGCTGCTTAAATAAAAAAAACTGCTTGTCCTCTAGAGAGAGATCAAAGACAATGTGGCAATGTCCACTGGATGAAAAGTCTAGACAAAATTCGCGACGTGGACATGAAAGGGCACCTGAAGCCATTACTGACGGCCCTGCATCTATGCGCCCAGACGCCGTGGACAGCGCGTGCAGGGCTCTCTGCCTTGTCCCCAAATCCTGTATTTACTCTAACAGACTACAAGCAGCATCCGACTGAGACCGTAGGGTGTTCAGATGACGCTGAGGTGATCCAGGACCCAGATAGGGATGGGGTCGTGGGGTCACTGTGCCGGCTTCTCTGCCAGCGTCGCTCAGTGATGAGCAGGGACCAGTCTCCGTCTCGGTCTTGCTGCTGGGGCTCCGGGACTGGGTGGGTCGCCACCCTGTGGAGGTGTCGTGGACCTGCTGAGAGGGGGTCAGCCTGATACAGGCCTGGCGAGGCAGCAAGTGGGGCCCAGTGAAACCGGAAAATGTGCGTTCCTTGCTGAGAAATTTAGAGCCCCAAGACGGCAGGGGTAGAGCCCAGTGTGAGGGTGTGCAGGTGCGAGGGTGCCCGAGCGCAGGTCGGTCGGACCGGAGCTCAGGGCGGGTGCGAGGGTGCCCGAGCGCAGGGCTGTCGGACCAGAGCTCAGGGCGGGTGCGAGGGTGCCCGAGCGCAGGGCTGTCCCATCTCATGGGTCGCAGTCCTTGAAGCGGCCCTGGCCGCACCGAACAGCTCCTTGGGAGACAGAACTTGGTTCCGACTTTAGGGATGGAGAAGGAATGACCATGACGGCGGGATGACGGGGGAGGGACAGTGGCTCATATGCGTGGCCACAGTGCCACGGAGCGGCCGCCCGAAAACTCCCCTCCAGGCTTTCTGACCACAGAAGGAGGGTGGTGACCCCTGCCCCATCTGCAGGGAAGACCTCCCAGACCCCAGCGGACGCCTGGGACCACAGAAAGTGCCACCCCTGTGTTTGCTGTGCTCTCCCTCCGCGCGGCCACCGACGGCAGTTTAAGCTATGAACCAGGCGCGGTGAGGTTGCAGCAGGGCCTAGTACAGGAGAGGGACACCGAGCGCACGTGGCTGTCCTCTCTCCCGGAGCGTCTCATGGTCCCACGCCGAGGGTGACTGAAGCCAGGGAGGAAGCGTGGGTCAGGGCTGCTTACTCAGAGGGCCGAGCCCCCCCGAGCCTCTGGTGCCTCCTTTTCTCTTTCGTCCCTCTGCTTTCTCTCCTGGTAACTTCCCTCAGCACGGGCAGTGGTGAGCAGGGCACTGCGCCTCGTGCCCTCGAGATGACATAAGCGGCCCTTCCGCCCCCGGGAAAACAGGATTTTAAGAATGAAGTCACGCTGTTTATATACCTCTCAACAGCTGACCCAAAACGTTCTTCCTCTCTCAGTGTCTTCACGGGCCGACGTGTGTCTGTTTTAGATGACCCCACCCCCTGCATGTGTCACCCTGAGTTGCCTTGGGAACGAGGTACGGCCGTCCAGCCAGCAGGCACAGCTCTGCAACGAGCCCAGGTCCAGTGGTTGGAAAGCAGCCATGAGCCGACCGCTGCGTGGACACAGCCGCAACTTCCCGGGCACTGCGGTCTCGGCTCTCTGGCCCAGGCCAATGGCTCACACCCAGATACGTGTGATCTGATGCCACGCCTGCTCCCAGAGGCCGGCTCTGCCAGCGGGTGCAGCCCACGCCTCCCCACCAGCGTCTGCATCCCCCTCCTGCCCGTCCTTCTGAGGTAGAGCCACTCTTGGCTGCTCCCTAGCATCTGAGGGAGAACCACTCTTGGCCTCTCCCTAGCACTGAAGGCAACAGGGAGCCCTTATCTTCCAGCATTCCTGTGCCCCAGGCCCTGGTGACTCATCCCAGACTCCATGCAAGCCAGTTCATTAACACCTCACCTGGGACGGCCCAGCGTGGAGGTAGATTTCCAAAGTGGCTTGGCACAAGCAGAGCAATTAAAGAACCAGCAGAGGAGGCGAGGAGGGGCAGAGGAGGGAGGAGTGGTTTCGTTGTGACTTGAACACCTGTCTGCCTGGCCAGAGAAGGCGGGTCTACACTGGCACTCGGGGAAGGGGCGCATCATGCCCAGGTAGTATCTGTTGAAAGCAGTTAGCGTAATGGCTATGTTGCTGGACTCCCACGTAGTCGATCGCGGTTTGTTTCCCAGACCCGGTGGCTTAAAAACTCATGCCGGGTGCGTGTGTGTGCGTGCCCAAGATCCCGAGAGGAGAATGGAGGAGAAGGGATTGCAGCGTAACCATCCCCCCTTGGGGGTGATTTCTCGCTTTCTGTCTTTATGTCTCTGTCTGTCTGGCAAGTGCACGCGCCCTATAGTGAAAACCTCTCCAAAAAAAAAAAAAAAAAAAGAAAAGAGAAGAAAAAAGAAAATCAGGTTTGCAATTCAATTCATGCTCTCTCCAGGGAACTCTGGAAAGAGAGCGACTAAAACGTTGGTCCCCTCACAAGCTCCACTCTCAGGACACTGGACAGTCACTGAAAGAGTTCAGTTCACC